CTTTTTAGCGCGGACCCGACGTCCATATAATTGTAAGTCAATGCCTGTAGTAGTATTTTTTTATAATATCAAGTGACGGGACGAACAGGTCGTATGCCTAATGGTAAGCTATACGCCTGTCCATAACAGTTGCATTACCACTCAGAGCTTTAAATTGCAAAGATCTGAGGGGCACTACCACTACGCCCGTCACCTTGAGACACGTCTCATGTGCCTGTAATTTCACCAGCACCCTTACGCTTCAAAACCGGAACGTAGTAATGCTGACATTACTGCTTGGCGGCAGATATAGCTATCATATCATCGGTAAGTCTTATTTTAATAAATTTTCAATTTTCTGTTCGTCGAATTGTGAGCGGCCCCGGATACAGCACCCTCCTATTTTCCAGATAGGTACCGGAGCTGTTGGCACGCTCACTTCCCATTGTGCATAAAGTTACAAGGCCAATAAATGAATGAGTGCCCGACATGGCGGTGGTACCTTGCGTGACGGGGTTGTGGGAGTCGTCGTCCATAAGGTCCTCGATCTGCGCCAGGTTCAGAACTGCTTCACTGTCCTCGCTGCTTAGAAGGCCAGGCGATGGAGATAGCTGCAACAAATTACGTTTTCAAATTTCAAAATACAATTCCGTACTGTTTTACTGATTATCATATCTATCTATCTATTTACAATGATGTTTCTACTACCATGACATTCATATCAAAAATTAAAAGATCTGTAACAAGCACTTAGAAAAATTTGTAAGTTCCGCTGGTTCATTCCGTGGCTCAGTTGGCATAGTGTCTGGCACGGTTTGCCAGAAGACGTTCGTTCGAATCCAGTCGAATTGATGGATTTTTTTTCTAACTGTTCGTTCTTTATTATTAATAACTATAATAAACTAGTGGGGTAATTTCACAAAATACCGGGCGGTCTTATGTCTTACTTATCTTAGTTGTATGTGTTTATCTGTTTATTTATTTATTGTTGCGTTCTGTATTGTTGTCAGTGGCTCACTCGCCGTGGGCTTGTTGAAAATCAGGGCCACGAAACGGTATAAAAAAAACGGTTTAAAGCTGAGCAAGTCCCGATTGCACCCAGATGCGACTCGCATGACGGTGAATTAGGTACTGCATTATCAATTGTTTTAATTCAGTAATCAGTGTCAATTGTATTAATTTTTTTTATTGTTATTATTACTGCCTCCGTGGCCGAACGGTTACCATGCCGGACTGCCACGTAGAGGTCCCAGGTTCGATTCCCGGGCGGGGAGAAATATTTGTATGGCCTACTTTTATTTCTCTCGTGAATTTGGGTGTAATTTGTGGTTGTCTATGTATGTGTCCATGGCACCCGCGACACAGGGTTTCCCTAGTGCGGGGCTATGTTGAGTGTGTGCGTTATTATAAAAAAAAAATTATATCATTATTTATTTCTCGCCTCTCCGAGGGTCAAAACTTTAATTTTGAATTATTATTGTTCCTCTGTTGTTTAGTCTATATGCGTGTCTGTACTTGTGTAATAAGCAGTTTTCTGTTTTTCTTTTGTTAAAAAAATAATTGAATATCATGATAGTAAAACATCGTGACATTCAATAAACATAAAAAAATGAGTGAGGCGTGAGTGCGGTGGTAGCCCAATGGGACTACAACTACTTCTTAATTATGAGGTCGACGATACGAACCCCTGTGACTAAAGATCGGTACGTGTCAGGGTTTTAACCCGGCGCCTTGTTAACCCGATGTGAACCCGACGGTTTAAAAAAGTATTTACAACTTTTTCTTTTTTTATTAAGCCTAGGGAAACCCTGAATCGCGGGTGCCATGGAAACACACAGATAACCACAAATTACACCCAAACTCACGAGATAAATAAATGTAGCCCTTATAAATATTTCTCCCGACCCGGAAATCGAACCCGGGATCTATGCGTAGTAGTCCAGCATGGTAACCGTTCGGCCACAGAGGCACTTTAAATATTTGTAAATCGAGTATTATTCAAATTATGACATTACAAAATATTCATTGCTTTCTGACCTATAAGATTCGATTTGCCTTTCTATTGAATTGGTTCGCTTGAAAATCGCATTGAAATAAATCGATACAAAAAAATCGTTGGATCGTATGCACTTGAATCGATCTTCATAACAACCGAATCGTAGTGTGTATCTTTAGTAGTGAGAATCTACAAGTTTGCAAGCTGGAGTTGCCACTTTTTCATTTAAAAAAGAACATTTTTACATGGAAATTTCTAACAAGTGTAGAATTATTGACGACCTCCTTGGTCGAGTGACTTGAGCGCCGGTTTTCATGGTATCGCCATCTCTGACATCTCCCGAGTTCGGTCCCCGGCAGGGTCAAAGTGGAAAAACTAACTTTGTAGTAATATTGTCTTGGATTTGGTTGTTTGTTGTACTGTCATTGTTTCCGACTTCCACAACACAAATGGTTTAGTTTACTTTGGTGTTAGAGCAACTTGTGTGATGTCTAATATTTATTTATTTAATAACACCAAATTTCATATTCGCCGTTTTTGCCCATGTTTTTAATCAACTGCTCACTTCACTGTCTGTTACTGTTTATTTAAAAAGATGATTATTTGCAATTGTTATATTGAATGGCAGAATGTCAAAGATCATTTATTCCATAGGTAAAATAAATTTACACTTGAAAACGTCACATTTAAGCTACTGCTCGTTCACTACGCTGACCTCTCTGAGAAGAACGAGCAAGAAACTCTAGGGATTGCTCTTTTCAAATAAATTTAAATGCCATGGAACACACTTTGAATCAAATTTGTGTGGATTCTGGAGCCGTGTCGTCTTTCCATACATCTTTATCTAAGACGTAGTCTTCAATTTTGTAATATGACTTTACAATCAAAATATTTTTAATGTAGTTTTTAAACTTAGGAAATGATAATCTTATTATATGCTCCGGAATCTTATTATAAAAACGTATATAGTTCCCAATAAAAGAGTCGTGGTACCATGAGTTTTGACTTAGCTCTAAGGTTAATATCATGGATATCTTCTTTCTTATTGAAATTATGTATATTTTTACGGGTATACAAAATATTTGAGTAAACGTACTGTGATGCCACAGTCATGATACCAGTCTCCTTAAACTTTTCTCTGAAAAAACCCGAGAGCCTAGACGGTACACAGAACGAATCGCTCGTTTTTGCAATACAAATATGGTTTGAATATCTGAATTTGAATTACCTTTATGTCCTTGTGCGTGAAGAGCGAGTGATCTGGCGGCGGGTCGAGGCACAGATCCGGCGACAGGCAGCCGAGGGATAGGCCCTCATCGCGGCTTAGTGGGGAACACGAGCCTAGTTTAAGGCCATCTGCAATATGAAACGTTCAGATATCATCTTTCAGAATAATGCGATTCCATAGTGGTATACGAAGAGTAAAGACAACGTCTCCAGACTGTCCTATTTGTAACAAGAGGGAGGACATAGGAAATGAAACTATTTTTCCGGATTTAAATCGCGTATATTTGTTTTTTTCAAACAAACCGACGTTTCGGGCCCTTTACAGGTCCCATGGTCACGATTGACTGAGGTGGTACAGTCTTCAACCAGTTATGTCTAATATTAATGCAAACCACCCTATTTTTTCACTATAGTTACCAATAGTTATTAATTAAATACCTTATTTTTAATTTTACAAAGAAAACATTCCAATTTACCCTACATTAAGTTTTACAAATTATTTTATTGAATGAATTTTTATTAAGTTTAATTTTTTATTAATTATTAATAGAAATTAGAATAAACTAAAACATATTAATTAGTACTGCAGTCTTATGTCTGTTTGGGATTTTTCATCAGAGGAAATACTGGATCCAAAACTGGTGGTACGGAGAAACCACCTTCCCTATTGAAATTAGGATGTTTTTTAATTTCAATGGCCTCTCGCAGCATCCTGGGTAGATAACGGACTTCTTTTGCAAGGACCTGGGGTTTGTCAAACTTCATGTGTAGGTTTATCCTTATCGAGTTCTTATAATAATAAGAACTCGATAAGAGGGAGGACGTATACCACGTCCGCGTGTAATGTGTTCGGAGCGAGGCTGAGACGCTTCAGCTGGGTATCGAATTCAACTTGCTAGTACTAAGTGTGACAAAATACTGGCTCACCCTACATCCAAAGTGGCCAGAGCGCTGTACCGCATTGTGCAAAAATGTGTAAAATGTAGGTAATTTACAGGTATTTACAGTACCGGCACGCTACGATGGTCGTTTTGACAGATTACAATAGGGAGGTCAAACTCAATTCATTCTCTAAAGAGATATACTCAAATAGACGTAATGTAACGTATGTCGAAATTGCTAAGTTTACAGGGGAGCGTTTTAAAGTTCTGAATTCACTCGTTACTCACACAGAGTGATCATCTAATAAGGTCATCATAGATGATCTAACCGATATCTAGAATTTTATAATACTCTATGTGGGTAACGAGCTTTGCTGAATAAAACTGAGAAATGCTAAAGTCACGCGTTAAGCTCGTTTCAGTAAATTCAGAACTTTAAAACGCTCCCCTGTAAACTTGACGATTTCGACATATGACATTTATGACTTTACGCAGGAGGGGTCGAAATGCGAGTCGCATATATAAGTTTTTAGATTTGTAATTAGTATTGCAAGGGGTAGCTGATTATAAAGTTTTAATAAAACGAAAATAAAAATGTTTTCTTAATATATCGTCAATTCGTCACTGCTTTGTTTTGCATTCACCTTTGACGCGAGTTTGCCGGAGGTAGAAGTTGTGCTGGTCAGCGACCGTAACTTATGGGAAGTTACGAGGAGCGGTCAAAGTTAAAGTCAAAGATTATTTATTCCATAGGTAAAATAAATTTACACTTGAAAACGTCACATTTAAGCTACTGTTCGTTCACTACGCTGACTTCCTTGAGAAGAACGAGCAAGAAACTCTTGGGATTGCTCTTTTCAAATAAACTTAAATGCTATGGAATACACTTTGAATCAAACTTGTGTGGATTCTGGAGCCATGTCGTCTTTCCATACATCTTTATCTAACACGTAGTCTTCAATTTTGTAATATGATTTTTCGATCAAAATATTTTCAGAAATATTCTAAGAGTCGTTGAAAGACCAAGTACAAAGACACGACGCAAGCACATAGAAAAATTCGTGAGGTCCGTTGGTTCGTTCCGTGGCTTAGTTGGTATAGCGTCTGGCGCGGTATGCAAGAAGACGTCGGTTCGAATCCGACCGGATCGATGGAATTTTTTCTGAGTGTTCGATCTTTGTATTAATAATTATAACAAACTAGTGGAGTCATTTCACAAAAAATAATTGAATATCAATTCAATAAAAATTTAATTAATATTCTAAGATTTCATATTTTAATATTTCGTTAGAAAAACAAGTTCTGAGTTGTGTCGAAAAATTATGCATTCCATAAATTTGACTGCACGTCACTGTTGACAACAATTAGCTCCTTCAACGTTGTTATGAATTAATACAAAACTTGACGAGCGGACAAACGTCAAAACGGCCGTCATAGCGTGCCGGTACTTTAGTATGTGGTGTGTTTAAGTGGTGCTATGTTCCTATGAGGTTGGAATATTCTATTAAGAAAAAACCCTTCAAAAACTAAAGATAAAAAAAGTGTGGTCACCTAAAGCGTCCAAGGCCGAGAGGCACTCGGTGGAAGGCATGTCCCTAAGAAGGTCGGGCGGGGGCTCGCCCAGCTCCATCAGCGGCGAGGGCTCCGTCTTCGGCACCACCACCTCCTGGAGCAGATACAAACTGTGGTGGTGAGTTATAATTTCTAAATTAGTCCTGTTAGTTATTCTTATCCCTATGCTAACTGCATTTCACAGGTAAAACGTTTACAGTTGAAAATGTAATTTTTTAAGTTACTTCTCGTTCACTACGCTGACCTCCCTGAGAAGAACGAGCAAGAAACTCTAGGGATTGCCGTTTTCAAATAAACTTTGGAATACATTTTTAATCAGATTTACGTGGAATCTAAACGTACCTCGTGTATTTTATCTAAGACGTAGTCTTCAATTTTGTAATGACTTTTCAATTAAAATATTTTCAATGTAAGTTTTAAACTTAGGAAATGGTAATCTTAATGTATCAGTAGAGCTCCTTGTGGAAGAGTTCGTCCAGGGAAGTTCCTGTTTTGAAGAGTGCTGGTGCAATTCCAGGCACACGGGACTTGTCAACTCATGTCTCAAGGTGACGGGCGCAGTGTGAGTGCACGGCTATTTCGTCCCGTCAACCTCCTCCAGGCGTCGTCGGAAAGGCACTCACGTCTCTGACGTCGAACCCGGCGGACGCGTCGGCAGCCCGTCTGTCGTGGACGGGCGACGGCCGGGCGGCCGCGGCGCGCGCGGGCGAGGCCAGCGGCTCCGAGGCGGCGGTCTCCACGCCCGAGTCCGTGTCGGTGTGCGGCGACGCCCAGCCCGAGTCGGCGCCCGACAGCGGCAGCCCGTGCAGGCGCGCCAGCCTCTCCAGCTCCTGGAAGCGCAGGCCCGTCATCCATCGCCTCGCAACTTTCCAGCGCTTTAAAGCCTTTGCACACGGCGTATTTTATCGTTGCAAGCAAGAATCTTATAGAATTAACAAATGCCAGATTGCCACGCGTGAAATATTTGTATGGCCTACATTTATTTCTTTCGTGAGTTTGGGTGTAATTTGTGGTTGTGTCCGTGGCACCCGCGACATAGGGTTTCGGAAATTAAAACTATCTCTTATCAAAAGACGCGATACATACGCGCGTTAACAGCGTACAAAAATTTTCAGAGCATAATTTTGATTTAGCGCTTTCGTGGTGAGCTTAGCGTTTTTCATAATTCTTCCTTTCCTTGGCTTAGTTGGTATAGCGCCTGTCACGGTATGCTAGAAGACGTTGGATCGAATCCGGCTATCGGCCGAATCTTTCTATTAATAATCATCCTTGTTTCTTAAAATAATAAACAAAAATTACCTGTATTCGAAGCATAAGCTTCCTATTGTGGAGCTCGATCTGTTTCCGCCTCTGTTCACTCTGCTTGAGCCTATTAACCTCGTCCCTCAGGCACTTGATGTAGTCCACACTACTCTTGAGAATTGTCCCCTTGTTCGGTCGAACGTCACGAATTACATCGTAGAATGGATCGTTTGTTTTTGGTAATAAAGTGCCTAGTTCTTTTATACGGTCGTTTATGTTGAAGCGACGGCGGCGTTCGACTGAAATAGAAAATTTAAAAACGTGAAAAATAGTTTAATACCACCACAATTATGGTAGAAATTATATTTTAATTGACTCAAACGTTAGGTTTATAAATATATTGAAGGCATATTGTCTACTTACTAACATGAACAAAAAAAAGAAAACTAAATCAGACATAATATCAGAAATGTAAGTATTTTTTTCGGATCTATTTATATATTTGTTGTTTCAAACAAACCAACGTTTCGGGCTCTAACGTATGTCGACAGTAAGCGGTAAAAAACACTTTGATTTCAACGTGTCGTGTTCACTTACTCATGTTGTGGTTGTCTTTCTTTTGTCGGTCCTTAGCAATAGCGTGCATGTCCGCATCAGAGAGAAGCGCACAGTCGCCGGCGATGGAGCTTGCGGTAGAGGGGGGCCCGGAGGAGGAGAGGGGGCCCGCGCCGCTGTCCAACGACAGAATGTCTTCTAGGAACTCATCCGCCTGCGGGTGGAGCTATTGTTAGGTACAAAGCGGAGAAAATCTATTATTATGTTTTGAAACTTTTTTACACTAAGTAACGTGACGAACAAGTCGTGCGTATGGTTGTAAACGACACGCCTGTCCATAACAGTTGCAGTGCCACTCAGAGCTTTTAATCTTTTTATTTAAATTCAAATGATAAGTCACATGTGAATAATTTTTTTTTTTTTTTTTTAACGCACACACTCAACATAGCCCCGCACTAGGGAAACCCTGTGTCGCGGGTGCCATGGACACACACATAGACAACCACAAATCACACCCAAACTCACGAGAGATATAATTGTAGGCCATACAACTATTTCTCTCGGCCCGGGAATCGAACCTGGGACCTCTGCGTGGCAGTCCGGCATGGTAACCGTTCGGCCACGGAGGCAGTTAAATTTGATGAACGAAATGAATGTCCAGATTTGAATCTGGACTGCTACTAAAATTAAAGAAACCAAAAACTGTAATTTGAATTTCAAAGCTTTTTAATGAAATGGAAGCAATAGGTTAAATAAAATAAGGGGTTTTGTTGTACCATGAGATGACTACGAAATAAATTGTGGAAGTAACTTAAAACATATGGTGCTAAATCAATGTAAAAGTAAAAGTAGGTTCTACTAAGTTAACGTAATAATTTAAAATATAATTATAATTAACGATATACAATTAAATTTCATTCTCTACCTGTTCTATTCTATATATAACGCACATACTCAACATAGCCCCGCACTAGGGAAACCCTGTATATCTGGTGCCATGGATACACACATTACACAAACCACAAATTACACCCAAACTCACGAGAGAAACAGATGTAGGCCATACGAATATTTCCTATATGTAACAAAAGGCTTTTGCTGCATGGTCGGTGCGTGTATTATTTGGGTTTTTGTACAGGAATTTTAACTGGAATTTTTGTATTATACCTATATATAATAGTGAATAATTGGGGTGAGTGAGGTGATTTCTTAATTAGAAACTGTATACCTACTGCGGTGTCTACAGCGACAAATTAACTTGTACTTTACATTGTATACAAGGTGAAGCCTGAAAACCAGCAAATTGCTGAGGCTTGTTACCTTTTCTTCAACACTGATTTAGATTGTAAGCCACTATTTTAAGTTTTTATGTGTCGTTGTAGCGTCGAAGAATAAAGTCTTTTTATTTTATTTTTTTTTATTCCTAAATTGCTTTTACTTATGAATCGTGAGCAATAGTAGCCAAGTCGGAAAGGGAGCTTCTAATTCCAATCCATGTGGTGTCACGTACCAAGATTTTAATTTGTAAATTGCGTATAAGTATTTGTGAATATTTAGTAGCAGTATCTCATCACGGGAAACATCGAGATGCGACCTGCACGTCGAAGACTCTTTGCCTTTGAATAAACCTGCCCAACAGTGGGTTGTGTAATAGGTTGATGATGAATGCTTATGGGGTGCACGAAAGGAGCATCCCTGCACGATTTTTCTGAACCCCAATTCTGCTAATTTTCCTCAAATCCCTGGTCAATGCTCATGGAAAAATTTTCTATTTTGAAAAAATCATTTCATTCATTTTCAGAATAATAAATATTTTTTCTGGATATTTTTCTATTTACGTCGATACCTGTCAAAAGTTGAAGTTACTGAACGAAAACGATGGAGCCAATAAAAATGTTTTTTTTTTCGCTGTTGTGAAATACTTATAAATCTCGTTTTTCTATAAGTGGCTTTTAACTATATAAGTCTATTTTATAATTCAGGCTAAAAATTTTTCGGAAAATTCTGCCAAAATATGCTCCTGGACAAAAGGGCTAGAATACAAAAGTAAATGTTTTCGTCGAAGAAAAACTTTTCCCCCGGTTTTGCAAATCCAAATTCCGAACAAGGATTTATAGAAAAGACGTTTAGTATACTACACTCCCGGACACATAATTCGAGCCACCTCGCCTTTTCGGTATTAAATGCCCTAAACTTAAACAATGTTCGGTTGATCAAAAACTATTAAGCAATTTTGAAACTAGCATACTAAACGTCTTTTCCATAAATCCTTGTTGGAAATTTGGATTTGCAAAACAGGGGAAAAACTTTTTTTTCGACGATAACACTACTTTTGTATTCTAGCCCTTTTAAGACAAAAATGCGAGGTGGCTCGAATTATGTGTCCGGAAGTATAGTTTCAAAATTGCTTAATAGTTTTTGATCAATCAAACATTGTTTAAGCTCAGGGCATTTAGTACCGAAAATGCGAGGTGGCCCGAATTAAGTGTTCGGCAGTGTATGTTAGCAAGTGGCAATGGCAGTTGAGTCTCAAATACAGTATCACTGAGAAGGCAGTAATGGCATTCATTCATTCAACCACTTACTATCGATGCCGCCTTAAACTTTAATGGAAATATAATTATCTTAATTTTTGTCTTGTTTAAACACCAATTAAGTCTTCAAAATAAATTATTTTCTTTTTGTGTAATAATTAATAGACTACGTCATGGACATAAACATTGCAATACAAAACGTACAACAAACTGACATTAACACTCTGTCGGCACACAACCGAGTTGATTTAAAATTAGCAGGCTTCGAGCTCTGTCGTTTGTGCAAGAGTTTGCCCAGAGAAGTACTACCACCTTACCTATTTCTGCCGCCTGGCAGTATTGTGAGCACTTCTGCGTTTCGATTTTGAAAGGTAAGGGTGCTAGTGAAATTGTAGGATCATGGGACTTTTCAAGTCATGTCTCTGGTTTGCGGTTTAAACTTCTGAGTTGCTACGAACAAGCGAGTCGCTTACCACATAATCTCAGTACTGAGTAGGTACTAAAAAAACAACCTTAAAAGTTCCTGGAATTACATCTATTTACCTAGAAATCGGTTAACGGAAAGTGTCTGAAACCGGGTACCCTCTTACCACCAAAAAAGAAACATAAAAATTTGTTCACAAATTTATAAAATCTCGTCCTTTTTTTGAAGTCGGTCAAAAAATACCGTACGCCGTCTTGCAAACCGCAAGAGCAATCATTATAGTGTATGCCATCGATACGATAAGAAGAAAATTCAACATACCTCGGAGTTATTGGTGCCCACGGAACAGATGCCTGGGCTTAGCAGACCGCAAGAGGACGCGCGGTCGGGCGACGACGGGCGCCCGCCGAGCTCCGGCGCCGATTGTACCGGTGCTGCGCGCGTCGCTGGCTGCAATGGCCGATACATTACTAAATTAGGTACAAAAAATCGGTGCTGATACAGCTGAAGTTCATTGAGCATTTAACTTCAGACTTTACACATAGAAACTCTTGGTCTATATATAAGCCTAACGTGGCCATACGTCTCGCTTTGTCCCGCTGTCCCCAAAATAACAATGTTTGACAAAACATAGGCGTGAAATTAGTTTTAAAAAAACGGGAAAGCGAAAAAAATGGCGCATAAACGAAAAATATAAAAAAGCCAGCCATGTATAAAACCACCCCAGCAGATTACAAAATATTAGTTCTTCTTTCAAATTTTTGATCATTAAACATATTTAGTTCTTTTAAAAAAAATTCATTCATTAAACATTTCGTAACTATCATAAACATGTGTTTTATTTTTAAATTAGAAAACTAAGCAGCCATTTTGCACGACTTAACCTCCACGAGGAGTAGAAAATTAATTTACTTCCACTTTATTGACTTCTACTTCCACGAAGTAACGTTTGAATCTATGAACTACTTGAGACCAGGGTTGTCTCGTCATTCTCATTTATTTCGTTCCATCGTCATTCTCTGCTTAATCGTTGAAGCGAGCACGTCTTCCAGTTGACAGATGACCAGTTACCAACAATCTCTTGTGCGATAAACATTTAAAAAATCACAAAAAAAACTTAAAAATGATTTTTTTTACACAATCGGATTTATTTCCACTACTTCTTCCTTTCAAAGTTCAAATTCAAACTTTAAACTCGCTAAGCAAGACGTGTGGAGGCTGCGGAGGCTACATTGCAATCTACAGGATAAGCTTAAGCGGTGCCAGCAGTGCGTGACACCCTCTTCAGCTGGAATAATTTACAAACCTTCCAGAAGCTGACTGCAAGCCGAAAAACCAGTTCAGCTGTTGTTTTGATTAAATTCAACTACAATTGAGCTAGGTAGATTGATTGTTTTTATGCAGATCGATTCTTTTATCAATAAATGTCATAAAATCGTTGAAACACAATATTTAATATATATACAATAAACAATACCTAGAACATAGAAAGCCTTTTCATTATTACGACGTATTTAGTAAGAGTGTATATTTATGACTTTTTTTTAAATAGACAAATTCAGTATCCGCTGAAGTCAAGGTTGAAAGAATCTGCAAAAGACCTGCATCAGCTATTGCTGATGCAGGGTTGTTACTCTGGTTGAGACATTGTTTTCATGATTAAAAGGCCCCTGAGTCCACATTAGCTCCCAAGTAGTTACCAAGAATTTTCGATGAATTTATTTAATATAATAGTGCGAATCCTGGAAATATCCACAGCTTAGGGGTGGAATCCCGGCCCACGTCTAGTCCCCCGATGACGGAAAGGGGAAGGCGGAATCAAATTATGCAATTCCATCGCACACTCTCCGTGTTATATCCTGTAGAATACCAAACTACGAAGGATTGTGTTTCTTAGAATTATTGACCGCAAACTCTATATTTTAATGCGTATAAAGAAATGTATTACCTGATTAACTGACGGCTGGAAGGACTCGGAGAGGTACTGGCGCACCTGGCTCTTCTGCTTCTGGATCACGTGATACCGGGTGGGGTTCTCCAGAACTGTTCGGACCTGAAAATGCAAGAATTTAACAAATATTTCCACGATAAAGCTATGAATTTTTTCATACGATGATTAGTGGTCTATAATATAGACCCCCAGAGGTCCTCTCCAAACCGCAAAAGGTCAGCAAAAAAAAATTGGGGTCGCGTGTGACGCAAATTATCATTAATTATTTATCACGATAATAAATCTTGATAATTATACCTTGATACAACATTCATTGGGACAACAAAATGCTACCGCTAGCAAAGTTGTGTCACGTGTTCAGAGATGGGCAGTGGGTTGAAACCGTATCAATACGCCCGGATTTAAGCCGGGGTTTTCCGAAAGCGCCAGGATTTAAACCATTTCAACCCAAAACTGTGGGCAGAAACGGCGAATAAGGAATTTGGTATCTTAATTTAATGTTTTTTTTTTACAAATTTCGATGTATAAAAGTTTTCTTCGACGAAAAAGAGGTAACTCCACACACTAAAACTCGATTTACAACACGTAAATTCAGTTGTAAGTAGTTATCCCTCCTTTTTGGGCGTTAATGGGTTTTAATTCGATTTACACTCGGCATTAACAAAGCACCGGGTTAAAACCCGTGCACACGATTCACATGTGTGAAATGACCCGATAATTGTCAATGAAAATAAATATCACGATAATTTTGAACCAAGTAAAATAATCGGAAGTATATAGGGTGATGGTATTTTTAATTAGAATTAGAACAAAATTTTCTATCATAGTAACACGTTTGTTATTGGTAAGTGTCAGTTACTGATTAGATACTTAGTGGATTTTTGTGTTAATTACTGGAGACTTAGTGAAATTCTAGTTTAGGTTTTATTTCATAATTATAATAGCTTTTTTTATGAAACATACCACAGAATAACTGTTTTAAATGACTTGAAAATTAGGAGGAGGTTCTCAAATCGCCTGTGTGCTTTTTTTTGTATGTATGTTACGCGATAACTCCGGCTGTGAACCGATTTTGATGATTCTTTTTTTGTTGTTTTCAAAGAGGGTACCTCAGAAGTAGTCCCATTTAAAGAAGAAAATATTCCACCTGTAAGGGTGGCAAACTAGGGGATGAATGACTTTTGAGGTCGGTTTTTTTAGTACTCTATACTGAGGTTATTTGAGGATTGTCAAGTAAACTAATTACTATTGATATATGTTCAAATACAAAAAAGTTATTTCAAATTTAAAGACACACTTTCCTTGAAATGTTGACATTCGTGCCATCATCCTACTAGTTATTCAAAAACTTTTAAAAACAAGTTAATCGCTAAATACACCTCGTTAATAACAATACGCCTAAGCGATTACAACCTCTTCAACGTTATCTTTGGAAACCTTTTAACAGTCAGTTCACTATTGAAACGAAACGAAATGCCAATGTCACGGTATTTCCTAATTTCTTTCTAAACGCGTAGTTGATTATGTTTAATCAGAATTGTAAATAGGTTTTTTTTTCGTACGAGAAAGTAAAATTTTGAAATCTAATGTTTTATAGCACAGGTTTCCAAACTTTGTGGCTAACCGCCCACTTAGGCAAGAAACAAAATTCAACGCTCACCATCACAAAAAATACTTAACGCAAAAAATTACAAGGAAACAAATTATATATTTTATATAGATAACTCAGGCGTTGTTTTCAAATGCGGTAGCACCCCTGGACAGCATCAACGCAGCCCAGTCGCTTCAGAGGCTCCCCGGTCTCTTCAGAGCCCACTGGGATAAGTAGGGACCAGTTTGCTGCCGACCACTAACTATAAACCGGCTAAGTGACAAAATATTTTTTTGAGATACCAGAAAACACCATAACCCACTTTTAGAATGCCTCTGTGGCCGAACGGTTACCATGCCGGACTGCCACGCAGAGGTCCCAGGTTCGATTCCCGGGCCGGGAGAAATATTTGTATGACCTACATTTGTTTCTCTCGTGAGTTTGGGTGTAATTTGTGGTTGTCTATATGTGTGTCCATGGCACTCGCGACACAGGGTTTCCCTAGTGCGGGGCTATGTTGAGTGTGTGTGTTATTATTATTATTATTATAAAGAATATTAAAATTGTTTAATGATATTTCAGCTATGCATCGTTAGGTAAGTCGTATACGAGAATTTTGTGCTCTATTTTTTGCTATTTGAAAGGGTTATTTGACCATTTGTAACTTAACAGTTTGGGAAACTGTGGTTTAATTTTAAATTGATGACTAAAACGGAAAACTAACGACAAAGATTTTTTCTAATTACTTAGCAACTTATATAAATTTGTCTAAATTGAAAATTCTATGGGCGTCGATTAGTTTGACAGTTCCAAAATCTCTGCCCTTTTTTTCACTTTTCTATCGCCTGTCCATAACAGTTGCAGTGCCGATCAGAGCTTTAAATCGCAAAGATCTGAGGGGCACTGCGCCTGTAACCCTGAGACATAAACAAGTCTCATGTACCTGTAATTTCACCAGCACCCTTCCCCTTCAAAACCGAAACACGTCTCAAATTACTGCTTAGCGGCAGAAATGGGTATAGTGTCGTAAATGATTTCACAAGGAGTTCTATTGTATATCGATACGATTATCGTGACTATCAATCGAGACGAGGAGTCGTCAAGTTTTCGCGAATCGACGACATAGATAAATTGAAAAATGCATTTACCTGCAAGACCTGTGGCGGGAGCTCCACGTTCGGCGTGATCCGGGACACATCGGCCGGGGCAGACTTCTTCTTCTCCTCCTCATTGTCTTTGGATTGGCCAGCTTGTTGGGCCTGGAAACAACAAAAATAACGTTAATGACTAGTTCAGGATGTCGGATCTATATTAACATTAATTAAGTGGTCAGCATTGACTTGGTGACCTAATAGATCAAACCATAATAAATGAACAATTGAATTTTGCATCATCACCTTTATTACGGGTATTTTCGGGTTTCAACAACAGTAAGACAGGCCGTAGCAGGGTGTAAATATACCAACCGTTCTGAACCAAGTCATTCTTTCCGAGCGTCGAGCTATCAACAGCCCCGGAGGATGCCTCGTGGAGAGGCGAAACAAGTGTCGGTGCTGGTTTGTGACTTATTTATTTTATTAATTATATGCGGAGGGAGGGTGGGAAAATTAACTGCACGAAAAAAGAAGCGCAGCTATTTTGCACGAATTAACCTTCAGTGGGTCGCGGAGTTGCAAATTAAATTACTTTCATTTATTTACAAATGAATCGAATCATTAATTTCTTTGTAATACGCGGGTTATAAAGGTGTTACAAGAATGAATTTTGAACCACTGTGATTCGCATTGCGGCATACAAAGTTTTTATGTAACTTTCATACAATTTGCATAAGGCATGCAGTCCAATAAATCGCCACCTAATATACTTATTGTTATCGTATTTTTAAGGTTTCTCATGGGTTTCGTGACTGTGACACATAGTAAATGAAGCTATGTTTTCGGACCTATATGTTTTTGTGCTAACAAACCAACATTTCGGACCCTTTACAGGTCCTACTTACTACATAGTCCCTAGTACTGCGTCAAAAAGTGTTGTGCTCATCTGTGATTGTGCTCGTGTATCAGAATTATATACATGATAAGTCTTAAGTTAGGTTTTTGTTACGACAGGACGAACAGGTCCTGCTGAATAGGCGCGTCGCTTACCACACTTACCATAGCAGTTGCAGAGCCACCCATAGCTTTAAATCGCAAAAACCTGAGACATAAGTTGACAAGTCTCATATGCCTATATTTTCACCAGCACCCTTACCCTGCAAAACCGAAACGCAGAAATGCTCACATTACTGCTTGGCGGCAGTACTTCCCTAGACGAACTCGTTCACAAGGAGCTCTATTGCTACTTAATGTGCCAGACAACATCACCAATTGCCTGGTATCAAACTAAGGAATGTCCTGTAACATAGGTAACAGAACAACGGAATTCACTCCGTGGCACTTTTCTGGAACACCAGACTAGAACCAATTCAAGAAATAGAACCCGGGACCTCATCATCCGACACCCTCAAACCGTCGGTTCACCGAGGTTGTCATGCGTTTAAGAAAGAAAGAAAAGAAAGAAAATACATTTATTTGTTTACCACAATGACACCACAAAAGACAAAAGACAAAAAAAAGAGAAAACAGAACAAAACAGAACTAAAACAAAACACGATCAAAACATTCAACGTAAAACAAATATATAATTACGAAACAAAAACACAAACAAACACAAAATAAAAATGTATATACAAAAATTAGATAAAATTAAAACTGAACTATTCACAAATAATAAAAAGAAGACTAAGTATTGAGATACCTTGTGTGGTGCCAGCCGCGGTAACAAAAGGGTCACAAACTCAGTATTTGCTGGAAAACGCAACGCGTTCCCAGCACTGATTTTCAGTTAAGACCCTAAGTGAGGTCACGGAACAACATATGCAAGCATATTTTGGTACTTGAATATAACAGTAAAATAATTATATATACGTACATATTAAAACTGTAACAGATGTGTGTGTGTGTGTGGGTGTGTGTGTTGTGTATGTTTAAATACTTCCAAATAATTTATATATAACTATGAAAATACATTATAATAATTAATACGTATACACTATACCTACATCAAGCAAATAATATATTATATAACAAATGTGTATAAAAAGCATAAATAAATAGGTGCTGGAAAAAGTTAATACAATCCCTTTTGATTTTCCAGCAGGAGAGCCTTAAGCTTGCGCTTAAAAGCATTCCTACTAGAAGTGTCATGAAGAGGAGGGGGTAGATCATTCCAGCACTTGGATGACGCAAACCAGAAACTTCCTCTGAAAGCTGCTGTGCGGTGAGCAGGAACGATAGCCCGAACCTTATATTTAAAACAGTTTTGAGACCAACGAAGTTTGCGATAGAGATACTCAGGTGTCTCGGTTCTCACTACACCGAACAGCAACATAGAGAGGTGTAGCTGCCGACGAGCAGTCATATTTAAAAGGCTTGCAGCATTCAAAAACGGGGTGATATGGGATCTAGGAGGCACCCGAAAGCAAAAGCGTGTGCATGCGTTTTGTACACGTTGTATCAACTTCTTAGACCTACTAAAAATACAATTACTATATACTACATCACAATAGTTTAACCGCGACAATATCAGTGATTCACAAAGGTGTACACGCAAATCAACGCTAAGGTAATCACGAATACCATATAACAATTTGAGTCGATAAAAACAGTTACCGGTCACATTGAGGATGTGCTCCTCAAAACGAAGTTCACTGTCCATCAGTACTCCGAGGTTTCTGACCCTATCGACCCGTTCCATTGGTTCACCCATAACCGCAATATTTCTGGAAGCAAGGGCTTCCAGTGTATTATGGATTTGACCCTTTGTTCCAAGCACCATGTACTTAGACTTACTCGGATTCAGTACTAGACAGTTCCTATCAGACCACGCCGCTATACGATCTAGATCAGCATTGATGTCACTGACTGAAGCAATAGTATCAGATGGCTTACCCGATATGTATAGTTGCAAATCGTCCGCATACAGGTGGTAGCTACAGTTTCTTATACTAGTAACGATATCGGCACTGTATAATATAAATAGTAACGGACCTAAAATGGAACCCTGAGGCACACCTCTAGTTACAGGGCGGAGAGAGGAATACTTAGTGGTACCGTTAACCGTATGCAGTTCAACTATTTGAGCCCGACCCGAAAGATAGCTATGAAACCATTCAATGGTTTTAGTGTCAAATCCATAATACGACATCTTGGACAATAGAAGTGGTATGCTCAAACTTTCGAAAGCTCTGGAGAAGTCCAATAACACCAGAAACGTGCTTTTCCCAACATCCTGTGCTGCCAAAATATTGTCGACCATGTCCAGCAGAGCTGTTGCTGTGCCTCGACCCTTTCGAAAACCGTTTCGTTTCGTTTGGTGAGCCTTCTCTAAAAGCGTTTTTCCGCATTATTAATGATAAAAGATAATACGATCACACGTAATAACGTCATAAAAGGAAGCGCGATAAAGATAAAGAAGAATAAAGTCCATTAAATGCACAATTAAGATATAACCAATTGAATGAGAGTGCAGTAAAATTATTAAAAAAGATATATACCAATCAAAAAGATAAATAAAATGATTACAAATATAAGAATCACGGCACGTGGGTGTGTTCGGCAAAGTTGTGATTTATTATTGCTAAATTTGACGCAGTCTGATAAATTTGATAAGATATATGCATAAGAGCGGCCCCCTGCCGCTCTTATGCGGTTGCTTTTCGATTAAAAGATCACGGTTCGAATCCCAATGGCGGCATGTTATGTAAACATGTATTTCTTAGCAAAATCCCTTGCGAATTGTGGGTAGTTCATCTGGCAGTTTCCCGTTTATATAGGTAAGTTTATTCTTTAGTGAAAGTCACTCTTTCGGCACCAGGCGAACGTTGGAAATGAAACATATTACGCACCTAAATTGCATCTATTTTTAATGCAAACTACGTTAATATTAGACATACTGGTTGACGACTTTACCATCTCGGTCAGCCGTGCCCATGAGACCTGTAAAGGGCCTAAAACATTGATTTGTTTCAAAAAGAAATTTCTACCAATTGAGCTACAGAACGAACCAGCAGATTTTACGAATTTTCCTATGAGCTTGTTACTTTTGTTGCATTTTGCTTTTGGTTTTTAATGTTTTCCAGTTGGAAGAGCGACTAGCACGGCATGCTTGAAGGCGCTGGTTCGAATCCAGCCGGATCGAAGAAAGTTTTCTTTGTGTTCGATCTTTGTATTAATAATTATAACAAACTAGTGGAGTAATTTGACAAAAATATATAAAAATAATAATTGAATATCATGGTTAGTAAAATATGGCGTTTGTAGCATCATTTCCTTATTGATACTTCGTCTAATAGAGACAATAAGTATAATATGATGAAGGTGATAGTGAAAGCAATCAATCGATCAATACTTGTCTTTGATCTAGAACGTTAACAATGGAGTTGCACAAATGTGAGCCAGTATGCTAATGCATGGTAAGTCTATTGTTTACTGTTTGCTTTTCTGGTGTCAATTTGTTTGTTAATGTCACTAATCTAAGTGTATGGTTCTAAGGTCGAGTTTTCATAACACAATAACTTATTTGTTATAACTATTAATACAAAGATCGAACACTCAGAAAAAATTCCTTCGATCGGGCCGGATTCGAACCGACGTCTTCTAGCATACCGTGCCAGACGCTATCCCAACTAAGCCACGGAACGAACCAGCGGACCTCACGAAGTTTTCTTGTGTGCTTGTTGTCGAGTCTTTGTATTTGGTTTTTCAACGACTTTTTAGCCGTAGCGCCATCTATGAGAAATCTATGAAAGTATTTCACAACCCAGTTAGATACTTTTACAACTACCAGGCTCGGCTAGAAATGTTCACGTTCCCGGATTAATATGTAAAAAAATTACATATTTTTTATTTAGAAATTTATTATTATTCTTATTAATATTATTATATTAATATTATTAACCTTTATTTTTTATATAAAATATCACGTGATGTTGAAAATATGGATTATTTCTAGTTTCGTGTAGAAATATGGTCTAAACCTGTAAATATGGAAAATGTAACTTTTTTATTCTAAATATCATTATTTATGTAGAAAATAAATTAAAAATACATTAAAGAACGCCAATTATTGAAATCAAAAATATGTATTTTTTTACATATTAATCCAGGCCCTACTTATCAGCATCCATTGAGGAATTAATTTATATTGCAACTTTAAAAGTTCTTTAACTCTATAACTAAAATATGTGCTTAATGCAGTCAACGAAAAAATAGAGATACAACTGCACGATAATAGAAACATGAGCATTGAGATTCTTCGGATCTTTGCGATTTAAAGCTCTGCTATGGACAGGCGTGTCGCTTACTACCAGACGCACGACTTGTTCGTCCCGTCACTTGCTATCATAAAAAATAAATAAATAAACGTTAACCACTTCTATTAATTACTTCTTATAAAACTCACAGTGCTTTATAAGCACATTTCGCTCTTGTATGCAATTTGAGGATAAATCAAAAGGAAAATCAATTCAATAAAAATTCAAATACAGTGAATAGCGACATTTCTAGCCGAGACTGGTAGCTGTAAAAGTATCTAACTGGGTGATGAAATACTTTCATAGATTTCTCATAGATGGCGCTACGGCTAAAAAGTCGTTGGAAAACCAAATACAAAGACTCGACAACAAGCACACAGAAAAATTCGTGAGGACCGCTGGTTCGTTCCGTGGCTTAGTTGGTATAGCGTCTGACACGGTATGCTAGAAGACGTCGTTTGGAATCCGATCGGATCGAAGGAATTTTTTCTGAGTGTTCGATCTTTGTATTAATAGTTATAACAAATAAGCTATTGTGTTATGAAAACTCGACCTTAGAACCATGCACTTAGATTAGTGACATTAACAAACAAATTGACAGACGGTTTATACATAAAAAAACTTGGCAGAAAAATCAGTCCAAGTGGCATGTTCACCACGTACATCGTATTCATTGTTTCGTTAGAATGAAGAAAATTAAACAATTCCCATTCAAAAGGGCCAACTCCTTTTGGCGAGGACGTTGCAGAAATTTCGCTAAAAAGATTCGGCGACAGAATAATAAACATCCTTTCTTGTCGGGTATTTGGAACAATTGAAATCGTATGACATTGATTACACAGCATTAAACCACAAGTTATTGGGTAATTGCTTTTATTTGGGTAAACGGTCTTGGTTTCCTCCTTACATAAACATTATTCTATTCTGCTTTTCTATATTTACAGAATTATGCAATGATGACTCGAAGAATAATTAGCTCTTTTAACCAACCGATATACAAAAATCCATTACAAATAATAAAAAATAATTGAAACTTTAGAAACTTACCTGTAGAGACTCTCTGCGCAGTTGCTCCTGCGCATGTTCTCGCATCAACTGTTGCTTCAGCTGCGTGCGTGACGTTGGCGTCAGAGTCTTGAACGTAGGCGGGCTGTAACAAACAGAAACACTATTAGTTTGTTTGAAAATGGGTGACACTAACACAGATCCTAGTGGGATATTAATCTAATAGATTAGGGTAAAGTTGGACCCTTGCGGGACTCCAATATATCACTTTGCGTTGGGATAAGCAAAAGTAAAAAGACAAGGGTCAAACTAAATTTGGATTTTGTTATTAGAACATAGGATGTTGGATTACTTTTGAATGTCACTATAATGAATACTTTAAAGAATATCAATCAAAAGCTTCTCGTGAAACTTTTTTTGGCGACTATTTAGAAGATGCATGAAATGGATCAACTAAGGCAGAGCCGTAAACACTTTATTTGTCATGAAATTGGTTAATCAACAGAATAACAAAAGTGTTCGACGACATATCCGATAATTCCAAATGTTGCGATTAGAACAGACAATAGCTCTGTACAGTGAAAAGACGTAAGAACGAACATTATTAACAAATCGTGACGTAGTAATATTCAGGATGAGTTGATATGTTGTTCTGATGCAGAGTTACAAGTGTAGTACGTGGGCGTACGATGATTGAATTTGCATAATAAATAATAGACACTTATGTTTGAGTACCACATTTTTAAGTAAGATGTTCACTCCACACTTATATCAAACGGGTATTTGTGCACTATCGAAAAAGTTTGCAATGATAACGACAAAGTGTCAGTGATGATAGAGCTGTTTAAAGTATGCCAACAAACTTATCAATGTCAATTAAGGAAGAACAACATATTAATTGAAATCTTCGATATTAAACAGTGTACTCCAAAAAGTTAAATAAAGTCACCATCGTTCGCAAACAACTCGTCGAGCCCAATTTAATGAGCCCAAACATGATAGAACTACTATAAGTAGTTGAAGAGTTGGATAATCTTCAGACCGTTCTGGTTGCAGCAGCACATATTATCGTAAAGTCATCGGATTTCTGTTCAAGTCGATCGATTCTACACTAAGTGAGAAAAAAGCTATTGACATTTAAACAGCTGAACAGATGTTCATCAAATAGAGCTAAGAACCATAATGATTAAATTAGCTTTGTCGGCAAATAAGAAACCGCTTTGTGACCAATCCGTCCGTTCGGGAGTTACGAAGCCACAGACACACCGATACACAGGCAAAACGGTACAAAGGCTACCACGTTGACAGACAATTGCCTGTCAGTTACTATAGTTACGCACAATACTGCTTAGACGCTAACAATACTACAGTAATCGCATACGTTGGTGGCGTGGTAATATTGGCCTCTGATTGGATAATTTGACAACTGTAATCAGAGAATTATATATATTAGAAGTAGTGAATAAGTAACCCTAATTTGATATTGAAGATAACACGAAAACCACTATCTTTAGAATGATAATGATTTTTGTTCTGACATACCCACCGGAAATCAGACGTTCAGTCTGATGGAAAGTTTATTCGTTTGTTAATATAAGTTTCTTAATTTGTAGAATTAGATGTTGTTTAAGATTACAATAATCATGGAAATTGTTTATTGCCTAGACAAGTTTAATCGATTTAAACAGACTATTTGTCTAAATACATTGAAACCTAAAAGTACAACCAGTTTCGTAAATAGTATTCATACATGTGAATTTGATGGAAATTGGTAAGAGACTTAAAAGATATGCTACCTATTGCCGGCTGTAAGGCATAAGAGATTTAGTTTTCAGCTGTAGTAGAGCTCCTCGCGATAGAGTTCGTCCAGGGAAGCATCGCGTACCGCCAGAGACCAGATAATTTAGCAACATGAAATAGCGTTGCCGAAACGAGGAGTGCAGCACACGGAGACCGCAAACAGATCGACGTCGTTCAGTGTCTCTCAATCTATCCAGTCATAACCGCTGGTCACTGGTATGTCCTTACAAGACATAGTGTTTATACCAGAGGTCATTAAAAGTGAATATTTGGCACAACATCATAGATTACGCAGTACAATGGGATCTTATATCATCACAATTAAGTGGTGTAATTAGTATCGCGCTTCACGTCGTGTGTCTGGCCATTGCTAATCATATATGGTTATTTTCAATTAAGCCGTAACCTCTTAACGCGCATTCCTGTAATTAATACAAACTACTTTTATTTTACGACTCTTTGAAATTCAAAGAGAATTTTATGGCTTAACTAATCTGCGTCTTCCACGCAATAATAACAATAGAATAATTTTCCTGGTCTCACACTAGGGATTTCCCTGTACTATGCGTACTACAACCTCATCTAGTATCTACAATGCTAATCGCTGGACTATAGAGGTTGTCAAAATTAAGAAAGTTTTTACAAGTTTTTGTAAAAAAATACAAATAAAACGTTATTCAAATTGAAGATAATGCCGTGTCTTAAATGTCTTGAACTTCAGAAATTGTAACACGGAGAATCGGTTTCGGAATGTATAGGATTTGACTTTCAAACCGAACGTTATATTGACTTTCGAGTCCGACAATTCGGGACCAAATTTTGGACGCCTGAGAAGCGGTCTTATGTAGTTATCCTAAAACCAATTTTCACACGGTTATCTCAGAAAGCCCATTAGGTATACTTGCGGGAGATAGTCAACAGCTTCGCCGTCTATATAAGACTGCATCTTTGGCAATTATTGCTAAAATACATTTTTCATCTCGTATTAGACCGGTGTAAAGGTTGTTTTCTTCTAGAAATTTGAATGTAAGCAAAATTTGTACTCTCATCAATGTGAACTTAAATTTCGAAGGTCAGGTCGAGGCAGCCAAACAGGTCTCGAGCACTCGTCAATTGATCAAGAATCAAAGATCGCAGTTGCGTAATCAGTTCAAGTTAACTCCGATAATGTTGATGCAGGTGTATGTGAGTCATACATACATTTTATATATATCGCATCGAAAACAATCCTTTGAAAAAAGAGATTAAGCTAGGTGAAAACATGACACTCAAGCACGTCATACTAATACAATTTAAGAACACAAATTCGTTTTCGACAATAAATACTCAACGATGCACCATTTTGGTCAGAATATGTTTTGAAAACGCTTGGAAATGTTGGACTATAAATAAAATTATATAACAAATAGAATAGATGATGATGTAGTGACCAGTGTAGATGCAATAAAAGATTAGTGGCTAGAAAAGAAAACGGAACAATTCAATGGTGCGGTTATATTGGATGTTAGTAGAACACAAAGTTACAAAGCCAATGTAGATGGAACCGTGAGGATAGATCGACCTTTGCGTATATGCCTCGACCAGATTGATGGTGTCCTTAAAATGGTAAATGAAAGTAACAAGAACAAACACGCGTATATGAAAAAAATATGCGAATGGAGGATGGAGATATTTCGGAGCCGTAGGAAGTTGAAAGAGTTTATTGGTGCAACACCAGCACACTACAATCTAATCATAATGGAAGTTGTTTCTATATTGCCATCCATAATTACTAGTGGATACCTGAAAGAGTTAAGAACTGATTTGATAGCATTTTGTAGAGGACATTCGATGCAAAATCATACACTGCACATACATAAAACTTAGGTAGTAAATTCAGTATAATGCACGACAGTGCCTTGGAGTAAGAGTGTGTATGTATGTCAGGTTTGTGTGTATGTAAGCGTTCTGTGTTGATATTGACTGGAATTAGCGGCCAAGGTCCACTTGTCGTGTCCGTTCTTAGGTACAGTCGGAGTTCCGACGATTGGGTTTCTAGGGCGTACTTCAGTTTTTTTAACAGTTACTTCCAAAGTTTCGTGTACTTTTGGCAATCATACTACGATATCAATGTTTATGCAATGGCCATTAAAATATATAATAAATTACCTAATAACATAAAAAACGAAGAGAACAACTACAAATTTATTAAACTACAAAAAATAATTAATTTACAAATGCTACTTACTACACGACTCAACAATATTTTGACGATAATGAATTTTAAAATAAAATTGAAATAAACTATTATACAATTACACTACTTAAGTTTATTTGACAATTTATAATAATCTCTATATTTTTAATTTACCTAATTTCAAATAACATAATATAATAAAATAATTTTACTTAAGTCTACTTTTGACTATTTGTAATAATTTCTATATTTTTAATTTGTCTAATTTTAAATGAAATGTAATAAATTGTAATACAGTTTTGGATATATTTAGAACCAATGATAGGACGAATAAGAGGTGCGCCTAGTGGTAAGCGACACGCCTGTCCATAACAGGTACAGTACCACTCAGAGTTTTGAATCGCAAAGATCTGTAGGGCACTGCCACTGCGCCCGTCACCTTGAGACATAAGTTGACAAGTCCTATGTCCCTGTAATTTCACCAGCACCCTTATTCTTCAAAACCGGAGCGCAGTAATGCTCACATTACTGCTTGGCGGTAGAAATAGGTAAAGTAGTATACTTCCCTGGACGAACTCAAATTTGTTCATTTGTTCGTGAATGATATTTAAAATACTGCAGCACTGTAATTGGTGGTGGAGATGATAAAACAAAGAAAATTCCTTCAGTTACATGTGACTACATCAAGCTAAAAAGAAATGTACTGTAATCTTATTTCGCGGTTAGAGTGTACAAGACGGCATGCGTGCGCGCACAGAAATTACTCTCATGATCTATACTACACGTAACAGTCTTGACATTGTTTAATATGTTAAATCACTTAGTGGACATTGGACATTCGTTAAAAAGCTAAATGTTGTTGCAGAACACGATCTGCGATTATCGGTTACATGTTGTGGAAAGGATTACTGTTAATTGGTTTGAGGTTGAGCCATACAAATGACCTGGTCTCTAACTATCCTATGACCAGTCAGCCATGACTATGGGGCCTATAAAGAGCCTGTTGGTTTGTTTGAAAAATAAAAACAAGACTGAGAGAAGGCTGAGAGAAGATACAGATTTCTCACAGATGGAAAAGCACATAGAAAATTTCGTAAAGTTCTGGCATCTGCCACGGTTTGCTGGAAGACGTTGGTTCGAATCCACAATCCATCGAAATAATTTTTTCT